CCTCCCTCCCTCCCTCCCTCCCTTCCTTCCTTCCTTCCTTCCTTCCTTCCTTCCTTCCTTCCTTCCTTCTTTTTGTTGTTGTGGGTCCTGAACTCTGGGTCTGAGCACTGTCCCTCAGCTCTTCAGTTCAAGGCTAGTGCTCTACCACTTGAGCAAGAGCACCATTTGTGGCTTTTTCTGCTTATGTGGTATTGAGGAATTGAACCCAGGGCCTCAGGCATGCAAGGCAAGCACTCTAACCACTGAGCCACCTTTCCAGTCCATGTCCTGGGTTTTAGCCTCAGCATCACACACACACACACACACACATGCACACGCACTCTCTCTCTCTCTCTCTCTCTCTCTCTCTCACGTACAAAGAGCTTGGGGACTCTGGAACATACCTTATATTTAGGTCAGCTACTTAGTGTCTGAGGGAGGAAGATTTCTTGGGTCCATGATTTCAAGGCCATCTTGGGCAACATAGCAAACTCCCACATACTAAACAAACAGACTTGTGGTTGGGGGTAGGACTCAAGTGGTAGAGTGTTTGCCTCCTAAGCTTAAGGCCCAGAGTTCAGACCCCAGTATGGTTGGAGTTGGGGGGGGGGGGACAAAAAATTCAACTTGTTCTTGAAATTTCATTGGGTGGATTTTGTTTTGTTGTTATCTTTGTTTTGTTTTTCTGCATGCTCAGTAGGTCCCTTCTGCTCACATCTTACTGACCTGAGCTAATCATCTTGTCTCTCTTGAACCACAAGGAAGTACCATCCCATTGTGATCCTCAGGATAAGGAGAAATATTTGCCAAACAGTAATAATAACTGTCATACTTTCCTAGACATAAAAACAAAATCTATTAATGCAGGCTCATTCCATTCTAGCTACTTGGAAACCTGACATTGTTGGGATCATATTTCAATGTCAGCCCAGGTAGAAAGAAGTTCACAAGACTGCTTTTCAACAAAGTGCTGCATGCCTGTTAGTCTACCACGAGGTTAAGTGTATTTGGGTCTTACCCAGGAATGTACCTGGGTAAGAAGTGAGACCCTATCTCAACAATAACCAGCAAAAAGCAGGGCTATTTAGCAAACTTGAGGTCCAGAACTCAAACTCTAATACTGCCAAAAAAATACATACATAAATAAAACTTATACATATAGTTTAACTGGGTGTTGTTAGTTAATGTCTGTAATCTAGCCATTAAGAAGGTTGTGACTTGGAGGACTGAAGTTTGAAGCCAGTTAAGCAGAAAAGGTCTCAAGGCAGATCTCCAATTAACCAGCAAAATTCTTTTTTTTTTTTTTTTTTGTGCTGGTACTGAGGCATTGTAATCTTGTATGACTTTTTCCACTCAAGACTATAGGTCGATCACTTGAACTGAGGGTTTAGTCTGTTCAGGCTGGCTTCCAACTTCAAGATTAAGCTGTTGGTCAATAAAGGACTAGGAGGAAAGAAAGCAATAGAGGTTTGTTTTTTTTTTTAATTTCTTTATTGAGATTAAGTGATTACATAAATTTCAGTGTTGTGGGATAGTGATATTAACTAAAGTCATTTTAACCTTTATAAGGCAAATTGTCACTATCATGGTCTATAAAGCTTGTGAACTCTACAA